ATAACAAATATTCTACCCCAAGACATGTGTTTCCTTACACAAAGACATGGCACACGATAGTACATGTGTGGAACCATATATATACAACCCTTTTTACACTGGGATGTTCCTCAAGAGCTAGAAGGCCAATATGAAGGCTTCCTCAGCTCACAAATTCTGTAAGCCTAATGTTTATTCACCACCAATAAATGTAACACTGGTATAAACTAATTGGAAATTTCGCAAGCAGGGATGATTTCGAGGACTATGCCAATGTGTGCTTTGCACTGTTTGGAGACAGAGTGAAGCTTTGGACCACAATAAACAAGCCAGCCATCATTTGGGAAACTAAACTGGTCATGCGAAAGGCATACATGCTCCTAGCTGGTGCTCCCTTTAGGTTGATAGTCGATGTGTTACAAGGGATTCAGGTCGAGAACCTTATGTTGTCGCCCGTTTGTTTGGTTTGTTAGAATTGCGGTTGCATACAACTAGGACATTTTGGACCAGCTACGTACACTTAAACCAAACAACTCTGTACAACTGAATGAGATATAGCAGTTGCAGTAGCTGTACTTGCATGCCAGTGATACATTACGATTACAGCTGCAACAAATGAAATAGAGCAACATAACAAACCTTGTGGATTACTTTTTATCAATCTACAATATATGCCGATTTAAGAGATTGTTACATGTTTTCAAAGCCATAGAACTTGCAGGTGGCTAAGTGTGCCAGTCACCAAACATATTAAACCATCAACTCTATCTTGACTGAACCCAATCTCTATTTGAAGCCGCCATATCAAATTTGTCTGTATTTTCAAGCTCCTCGTCCACCTCACGCAACAAATCATTCTCTTCCATATTTTCATCTCTTATGAAATTGTGAAGAATAAAACAAGTATTTATAATCCTAACTTGAGTCTTTTTGTCAAAGAAGCTTACTATTCTAAGAATGACCTATTGTTTCTTCAACACTCCAAATGCTATGGATATCTGACATTTGAGTGTTTTTGGAATTGGAATTTGAGGAAAAATAAAGAAAGGAAAACGCATAGACAAATCATACGTACTAAGTAATTGCATCTGGATTCAGCGTGAGAGTACATATCTCGAAAGAAGATATTGTTGTTATAGATATCTAACATTTGAGTGTTTTTGGAATTGGAATTTGAGGATTCTTCCATATTTGCAGTAATCCTCACAATTTGATTAGTGAAGATTTGTTGCTACTAACTCCATGAAAGTTGGTCAAAAATCAAGCAACATTATTTTTGACACTTTTTTTTTGTAATTGAAGGAGTTCAATGAAGGGTTAACAGACAAATAAATGATATACACTAAACTTTTTTCTAGACCTAAAATAGATAGATGAGGTTAACCATGAGAAAAGGGACTATTTGCCCAACTCATGTTTATCTTCGTCTTCTACGCAAAATCACGCATAATTACATGTACAGAAATACAATTTCTCACATAATTGAATGACTTGCCTGTAAACCGTAGAGGACGAACACGCCCGTCCCCAACCAAGAATGCAGACTGAAAATATCTGCCAGTTTAGTATCCTTGTGGAATTTGAATGCAGCATAGAGTCCTAAACTTCCCAAGCCAAGAGCTATCAGATGCAAGAACAGGTGAACAAACTTATGTCCCCTCCTACTCCCTGGAATCATCTTATACGCCATAAATCGCTACAGCACCAAACAATAAATATATAACCGAACACCAAAAAAAATCACAAAAAATCACAAAAATTCGAGAAAATCTCAGTCCGCAAGCTAATTTCCAACTTAATTTGCAAAAAATTAGAAATTCAATTCATAAAACTAGAATACTAACCTTTGGCTTAGGGTTTGAGGAGCCGATGAAGGGCTAAGATTGGCTGGACATTGTTGAAGTGGAGTTGGAGTCGGAGATCGAGCTTTTTAGGGTTTCTTCCTCGGAGATGAGGGAGCGGAGGTCGTCAACGGCGCGAATGAAGTCCTGGTAGTGAGTTTTGCAGACGGACTCGATCTCGAACTCCTTGGACGGAAATAAAGAGAGAAGAAACGGGAATCACAAATGACAGCCTATTCATTAGCATTTAGAATCATGGGCCTTCTATAGGTTTAAATTGTTAATGGATTTAGGCCAATATTCAGTATTCAAATTCTTTTGGATCCAAACAATAGAATTGGGCCAAATACAGTATTTGAAAGAAATACTGATTACCAAACAGAAGTTATTTGTTGCCAGTTCACTTCTAGTAAGGACCCATGTCTGATGAGTCTAGGATCTAAGATCATTACTCATCGTGGAAAGGATAGAAACTTAGAAATACTCTTGTATCCTTTGGTAGTTAAAAGTATATATATTCAAATTCGAATCAAAATTTTCTTTTGGTGTATGCTAGAAAAAGAAAATAGAACAATTCTCTTCATGCATGCATTCAGATTTCCAGTGTCAAGTTCTTTTCTAGAGACCTATTTTAGAAGTGAGGAGATATGCATCTTCCTTTTCCTTGACTGCCATGTCTCTTTCTCAGTGATCAAGAGAAGACTGCCAAGTTACAGAATAAAAAATAAAATTTCTTCGAAAATTCTACAGTGAATTAAAGACTTAAGGGGCAGTTTGAAAACTCTCCCCCTAAACCAACTTTAGCTTATACTGGTGTTACGTTTGGACTCTGGGAAAATAAGTTTTAAGTCCTGGTCTAATTATTTGGCAAACTAGCAACAGGACTGAGACTGGTTTTGTTCTGTTAAACCATTGTAAGTTGGAGTGCCAAACAGGGCCTGGGATACTAGCAAACTGAATCTTCGAACGTGCGTTCTTTGAATTTTATCGGCTCATTGTGAGAGAGGTAATCAAAAGTTCATCGGGTAAAGGGCTATGCTAGCAATTGCTCAAAAAAACTATGTAAATTTACACAAGGTTACATTAGCAATCGTTCAAGAAAAACAATGTAGATTGACAAAAATGTTACTTGGAAGCTAAAAACTTACGAACTATACAGGAACTGAAAGAATCAATAGAAAATGATCATACAGCCAATATTAAATCAGCATATTTGGTCTATCAAACAATACAAAAGAAAATTTAAACCGGATGAATGCAAAGAATGCAAGAACATAGTTCCATTCTAGTATCCACTCAACACTCTTCCTCTGCCAGGTTCTTGCATTCGTAACTTTAAACCAACTGGGATATGTTCATATACGAAGACCCTCCTTCCTCCACTGTCTTTCGAGCCTTTTCCATCTACTCCTTAGGTGTATTTCGAGCCTTTTCAGCCAACTCTCAGCTCCCTTCTCCACACATTGACCGTTCTCTTTCTCCCCCACTCAAGCTTGTGCTTGTGAACGCGGAAGTTGTGAGTAGGGTGTGGGGGCCAGCGGACGCGTGAAAAGATGAAGCACTTGAAGGTCCAGCGGGTTTTCAAGATAAAGAGTTCACGTGAAAGGATTTGGATCCTCTCCACTACAAAAAAATAGTGGAGAGACCACTGCTTTTAATCTCAATCGTTGATTATTTAGTAGACGGTTATGATACAATCTAAATCTAACACTTACCATACCACCGTAAATTGCACTCATTCCTAATTTGTACTAAAAGAAAAAATCACAACCATTAACTAGATAATCAATAGCCGTGATTATGTAGTGGTCCCTCCACTGTTTTTTTTTGTAGTGGAGAGGATCTGAATCCCACGTGAAAAGATATGATTGTGGGGGCCACACCAAGTGATCACGTGCATACCAGAGTTTTGTTTCAGTTAACGCGTTTTGATAGCTGGTATGAAGTCTATAAATAAGTTTTTTTTAGGGTTTCGTGTGTGCGAAGTTGAGTCCGAAGGAGTTTCTTTTTCTGTTTTTGGCGGCTGCAGCGGCTAAAGAGCAGAAGTCAGAGGGTGAAAAGAGAACTTTTGGGCAGCGTGCAAGCAAAGCAGAAGGAGAAAAAGCAGATTGCTTTTTGGCAGTTTTGAAGAGAAGTTTTGTGCAGCGTCTTTTAGGTTTTAGCATCCCCTTTTGTGAGAGGTTGAGAGATTGTGTAAGGGTTTTAGCATCCCCTAGTTGTATTCTCTCATCTCTAATAGTAGATCTCCCCTCCCCCTCCTTGCCCCGTGGACGTAGGCAGTTTGCCGAACCACGTAAAATTGGTTTGTTTGTGTTTGTGGCAATTATAATAGTTTTTTAGGATCCCTCGACAAGTCAGTCCTAGAACTGGTGAGAGGAAGACCCGATATCTCATTTTGTTGAGATATTCGCTTCAGATTCTTGTTTCTTTGGTGAGACAAAAATTCTTATTACGATCTTTCTCTTATTGTGCACCAGAAACTCTGCCGAAATTTCCGCTGCGCACAACCGATCTACACGATATCACACTCCGGATCTAAGCTTGGTCTTAGATCAATACTTCGTCATCATCCTCGTTAGCACTACAACACCTGAAATCTACCATAGCGGTCGAAAAATGCTATGGTATTATTTCATAGCGTTTTAATCAACGCTGTGTCAGAACCCGCTATAGTAGGTCTGTGGTTTTACATAGCGTTTCCCCAAACGCTATCAAAAAGTTTCCAACCATAGCGTTTTTATGTAGCTATAAAAGAGTATTCAATAGCGTTTCTATATTGCTATGACAAATATTTTTCATAGCGGTTGAAAACGCTATTAGTTAGTTTCCAACCATAGCGTTTTTATGTAGCTATAAATGAGTATTCAATAGCGTTTCTATATTGCTATGACAAATAACTTTCATAGCGGTTAAAAAACGCTATTAGTTAGTTTTCATTCATAGCATTTCAACGCTGCTATTGTCTTACATTTGATAGCGTTTGAGTTACTACAATGGTGTTTCAGTGAATGTTGTCTTTCTTCTTTTAATAGCATTTCAGTAATTGTTTTCACTTCTTATAGCATTTCAGTTGTGCCTATAAACCTTTGAGGTTGAACTAGAAATAACATCCAATTGTGACAACCATAAAAGCAAATATTTCATTTAAAGATTCAAACTGATACATAACCAAGTTGTAGCATACAAGAAGAGTCAACACAAATGTGCCAAAAAACAAATACTAATCTTTGGATAGTCCAACATGGAGTACAAGAAATTAACCATAGTACACAGAACAACAAAAACTAACTTTGCTGCATTACATATGACTTGGGAGACTCATCATCTTCAGAAATTGAGTACTAGTACTGCTGCAAAAACAGAAATTAACAACACCAAAATTACAACTATAACAAACATGATAAAGTAAAAACACACGATTGCAAGATGTATAACTTACCAGCTTTTCAAAGCATAACAACTTTGTCTGACGGCCAAGCTATTGTCGTACCAACGACATCTTCAATGCATTCTAACTCAGATGTCGGTCTCCAAAGAGATGCACTAGGGATCGTAGGGATATCAACCCAAACACGCATAGCATTAGGACCTAAAGGAACGAAGTGAACAACCTGGTTCGGATCACTTGAAGACCAATGTCCTTCAGCAACTATCTTTCCCGAGCCACCAATATCTAACAAGTTGCACTTTTTCTTTGAGTTGTTCACACTCTAGCAACAATACAAAAACAGTGATATCAATTATAGAAAAGAAACTAGTACAATCAAATATCAAAATAATGATAGTATCAGCAAAAAAGATTACCGAAGGAGATGATATGTTTGGAGATTCCACATTGTTAATTGAGATATTTTTCAATACAACCTTGTCAGCAGGCCATGCTACTAGCCGAGATATAGTTAAACCTGGTTTCATATGTGAAACAAAATATACATAAACCAAACACAAATAAACACAAATTATACATACAGAAGAAGCTCGACAAGCTGAGGACAAACACCAGCTTCAATTTTTATCATGTGAAGAGGGGCATTCCATAAGCTGCATAATAAAAAAATGGATCAGGTCGCTGTTTAAAATGTATTAACTCTTAGAGGAATCTGATTTCTTCCTGAGAGGGTTAATGTACAAAATATTTTATTGAATAAAGTTATCAGAAGTGTTCAAAAAACATAGAATTTTTTTAATAAATGTGAGCTCTAATTTTTGATAAATTTTCTTAATAATAGTTTCACTTTTTGTCCTTCCTCTTTTTCCTCATTAAATCTTACTTTGCTCTCTCACCAATAACTATTACTATGATATCCCATTTTGGTTCATGTAAAAAATATTTAATTCAAGAATATCTTAAGACAATGATAAGCTTAACCTACATGGAAAGCCAATAACTTTAATAATACATAAACAATGTAACCTAAACTTCTCTTCTCTGCAAACAGAATATTCCAACAGAGTCCTTTTATATTCACATATTGTTTTTCCTAAAATTCCAAGAAACAAAACTTGAAAGAAAAACCCTATATGAAGAGTAAGTCCTTTTCTTTTCTTTTCTTTTGTTTTCCCCTTTCTAAAGAGGAGTAAAACGTAAGATGCTTTGTAGTCTAGAGCTTTTATGCACATTTAGGACACTTATCACGAAATTTTTTGGCATTGTCCATCCAACATAGCTAGACAAGACACTAATACCCATCTGTCTGACATTTAGGAGTTTGTCAACCCTGATCACAAAATTACTCAGAAAAGGGAGTATGTTGAGCTCCTTCTAATGAGAACTTATTTTTTTGTCCATCAATTTATAAAAATAAGGTACTTGCATAAATGAATAGCAAAAAAACAACATATTTATATTCAGTCAAATATTTATACAATTGGAATCTGACTTCATGTCTATATTTTGGATAATCATCATTTTTGGCGCCTTGTAGCCTCTAGTGAGGTTGAAGCACGGAAATCTTATGTGTGTCCATTAGCCATACAAAATAACACTGCGTTGTCCTAACTGCTTGAATCAAACTCATAATAAGATTTCAAAAACAAAATATACAGTATACTCATTGAATTTTCCACTCGGATATATCTCCAACTCGTAGTTTCACTTTAGAAGTAGGGGGAAATGGAAATTCTAATGAGCATTAATTTCCTCCTAAAGTTTTTCAAATATTCATGTTCTTCAAAACAAATGGTACAATCAAAATAACATTATTATTTACATAATTCCAACAAAAACACCTACCTGTTCTCTAACATCATCACTCGGCGAAGCAAGAAGCCTAACAAAGATAGGCACAGCACCATGATCAATCACAACCTTAGTGTTCTCGGAAGTCCCCGAAGCAATATTAGTAAGAGCCCAAGCCGCTTCGAACTGCTCAAACACAAGTCAGATACCCTTTAACCATTTCACAAAGTGAAAAACCAATAGACAGACTATATAAAAAAAAGTGAAAACCCCTCTCACCTGTAATTGAGGAAAATCCTCTCTGACAAGGAACTCCACAAACCGAGGAACAACACCAGAATGGATAACCTCCTCGATTGAACATGGGGGAGAACTGATATATATATACCTTGATATTTATCAATAGGTACAAAGCAACCATCTAAGTTTAGCAGGCTTAGAGCTATCTTAGACTAAAACCTTCACCATTTGGTACAACAAAAGGAAGGGGGTAATTTCAAAGCAATAATGACTTATCATGAACATAAGTTAAAGAAGCTGTTAATATACTTAGTGAATGTTCCAACTCTCTTTACGCAACTAAAAGAGCATATTAGCCTTCTATATTTTAAAGTATTGATCACATTAATTTGAGTATCTATAAGCTATCTCTCTGTTAATATGTGGATAATGAAGACAACATTTCTCTACATCCATTTGCAAAGAACAATGAACATACATATGCCAGACTTCAATAACATCTGTAAGCTAACAAAATGCACATGATACATATAAACCATAAAATATGCCCACATAAAAATCGTTTAAATGGTTTCGTAAGTATATCAGGCCATTGCACTTATTAGATTGTCCATCACATGCTATCCTTTGGCAATCATACATGTACAAAAGAAAGGTGAATACCCATTTCTACACTTTACCTTGCAAGTCAAATTGCTCTAACGATTCAAAAAAACTAAGATTGATTATATTGCATATTGTATGAAGCTAAAAAGGTTTCAAACTTGCCTATGACTGAATGAATGTAGCTCGCCAGGAAAGTGGCCTTTAATCCTCCAGCCAATGTGTATACAATTACACCAAGTGGAATGAGGAAGCTCGCAGCATAAATATTCACACCAGTGAGTGCATTAACAACTGCAGAACCACCAAGCAGGAGCATGGCAGTCACGATTATGTTGGTCATGAAGCAGAATAAAAGAAATACAACATGAGGTGCAATTCCCCATCTGCACAAATATATACATATGTTGAGTACAACAGAGTGCAAACTAAAAAGAGCCTAGTTCAAAAATAGTCTACATTTTTCCAGCATACCGCGCTTTTATAATTTCACAAACGGTATGCGCTTGAGGAGCCTTTCTTTTGATTTCAATGGCCACGACGCCAAATAAAAGAACCTGCGGACACAAAAAAACACAACTTGCCCAATCATTGAACTTGCTAGCAGTTACGAATTTACTTAACTTGAGATACTGATATTAAAGGACTAACCTGAATGGTAGCACCACTGGCATACCAGAAAGGACCGAAATAAATCATATCGTATCGAAATAAATCATGCCCTGTTTACATGCAAACATACATATCATATCGAGTCAGTTCTATACATGAGCCTCTGCTACTAATTTTTATGTAGACAGACACATCTATTTTTCTATTTTGATAACATGAGTAAAAGTTACATGCACAAATCAACTAGTAGAATGATTGATCAGTAGTTTTGCATTCAACTGAACCAGAAACGAAGTCAATCATCTAGAATTTACCACAAAGTCTGAATAAGAAATAAAGTATAAGAGAAAAAACATACCATTCTTCTCCCAGTCGATTCCACATCTTGCAGTGTACCATATCAAAAGAGAGGTATGGGAATGGCAAGTGTCTTGATGCAAATGAACCAACGATGGCAGGTAGACCTCTCTCAAGAGTAAGTTGAACTTGACTACCTGAGGGCTCGTAGTTTGCGATGCACATTGTTAGAAGCTGTTTTGAGAAAAGATGCGCTCCTAAGCTGCCGAAGCCACACCCAATATCTAACACAGTTATGGACTTATCTATTATATATGCTAATATATACAGGTGTATGGATCTGTGATTAACCAGAAAATGGACTCATCTTTGGAGACCATCTCATAGCCTTCAATGGCAGCTAACCTTCTGAAAATTTAATGAGTATGGATCTGTGATTAACCAGAAAATGTTTTCTACATTTTAACCCTTACTAGATGAACCATCGGGATAATAGTAATAATAATTTAATGAGTATGGATTCTAAATGGGTTTGAACTATAGAAGGACTTAAAGTGTAATTGATATTTCTTGACAAAACTCTAACTTCAAAGGATTATTCTCTTCAAATCAAGTGAAGGCAAATGGGAGGGACTAAATTTGAACAACCCATAAAATTCCAGGACTTAACATGAACTTCAAATATGTGAAGGACCACTTCAGAATATTAAAGATTTAAGGAACCAATATTGAAGAGACCCATAATAAAAACAAATCCTGAATAGGAACGAAGGAACATTAATAAAGCATTTAAAATTAAGGACAGAAAAATCGACAAATTAAATCCAGATATGTTGCTGTATGAAAAAAAATGAAGCGAAACCAACAATTAATGAGATGGGTATTATTCACAAATTGAAAATTACCGATCTGGCTATGAAAGAGGATGGCGGAGGCGCGAAACTTGGGAATTTCTAGGTTTTGATCGCTGATGACAGGGAACAGGTGTTCGAGGATGAAGAAATCGAGGAAGGCGAAGGGAGTGATCGAGTTCAGCTCCCCATTCAATGCGGCCCTCACCTGCAGATCCACTCTGTAACGGGCATCGGGGCCGAAATCTACGAACCCGTCCTCTCCCTGCATGCATTGAAGAATCAAGAACTCGACTGATCAAGAAATCAAGAAAACCGACGGAATGATGAGGACCAGGAGTAACCTCGAGATCGGAGAGAGAGAGGAGAGAGGGAGAGTGGGGCGTCGTGGGTTTGGTAGCAGCGGAAATTTTTGGGGTTAGGGTTTTTTTCCTCAGGGCGGGACCAATGAAATTTGGGGGAGGAGACGAATGAAATTTCGGGGCGTCTGTTTTAATTTTTGGTCTCCCGCTTAAGTATTCAACGCATCATAACAAAAAAATTTGCGATCCAAGTATTTATAGCGTTTAAAATTTTTCAAACGCTATCAAAAAATAAGGCACATACTATCTATAGCACTTATAATATAAACGCTATCATTCAACGCTATAAAAAAACAGTTTTGTTGTAGTGTAGAGAACTAACGAGTTGCTGATGTCCCTATCTATATTCTAATCACCTGCCACCTTCGAACAAACTTCATACTTCTTTCTTGACATCTTTCTCCTTGACCCTTACACCATGAGTTCCTCACCCCATATAGTTGAAAACTTTGCACTTACAGATACACCAATTTTAATCCTTCCACTACTAATTTCTTGTTTAGAAATTGTTCTGCAACATGAAGGTCATGTTATCACAGAAACGTCTGCTATTACAGACTCTAACCTTGAATTCCATCCTCAACGTGTCATGATGAATCCTCTAACTGCTTGATGTGATAAAATCATTACTTGCAGGGCCAACCCTCTAATTATAAGCTCTTGATCCCTTGTTCTTCTTA